GATTCTAGTGTTGTGAGTCCGCAGACATACAGCTGTGCCACTGGGGGGCGGTTCTACAGTGAAGTACTTTGTAAAAGTTTATGTAGTTATTCCTGCAAATATATAGAGAGACATGAACGGTCAATTTGTTTGTTGTCTGTTTCTTGCAGCAACATAAAGTCTACACCCGTTCATGGTTCAGTCAGTTACACACATCAACTCTCGAGCTAAACCTTTCTGACCGAATACTTGGATTTTATCATCACTGCTTAAAAAACAGCCATGTTTCAAAGTTCTGTTAACTTATACCTACTTCTAATTCTTTATAAATTCATGTTCCAATTTTGTTTCAATTCGTTTTGGAATGTTCCAACAGTGACACATTTTTGTGATCATCAGAGATATCTTTCAATGTTACACTTATTTATTTGATGTTGTATCATTAACTGTAAACTATACTGAAATAACTTGTTTGTTGTTAATCGCCTAGATACACAATGGGATATCTGTGTTCAATTTTTACCTTCATAAGACCTCGGACTTACCGGTGAGCCACCAAAGTGTTAGTACACAAAGTGATCTATCAACTGATATATTATTATGCTTCTTATAATTTTAATATTTTATTCTAAGTAATTTAATCTACTTTTGCCGTAATATGTATACCTGACACTTCATATTTTTTAAGTTATTCATTTGACATTTCTGTCACTGATTTTAAAGCTTGTTGAATTAAGTGATGCTTAGTTACTCTCATCAATACTATGTTCATATCAGGTCCTCCCTCATTTGTTTTAAAATAACTGATACAACTGATTCTAAATGTTTATCAAGATACTGAAAAACTTATAGAGCTCCAACTTCAGTAAATGAAGACCAGTTCACTTTTATAAAATCATTTCAACAGTCAGTTTTGATATATTCTTCTAAATCTGTAGCGTCTATGTATTGGTTGGATTTTGTCCACTTCGAGTCAATGTCGTTAAATGCAAGTTGCATCAGTTTTCTTGTAATATAATTTTATTCATTTGAACATCATGGCGCCAAATTTGTTATTATTCTTTCAGGTAACGTCAACATTTTTTACTTAAATATAAATGTTTTGTGGTTTGTGTTGACGATTTGAAATTAACCAGTTCATACTTGATCTCTTGGCTTTGACTACTAATAATAGCACCAGACTTTTATGAACGTCCTTTATAATGGCAGTACCTTATTTATTACACTTGTGGGCATGTTAACACTAACTTAAAAATATACTTTAATATTTAAAACAATGACTTTCCTTATACCTTTTATCAACTGGTGGTGAAATACGAGTAGTTACAATGACTTTCCTTATACCTTTTATCAACTGGTGGTGAAATACGAGTAGTTACAATGACTTTCCTTATACCTTTTATCAACTAGTGGTGAAATACGAGTAGTTGCAATGACTTTCCTT